AAATGTGGAGATTAAATAGTACTAATGAGGTAAGTGTTAGAATAGATAGGAAACCCCTTGAATATTGAGAGTAACAGTTCCTTTTCTCTGCAGTTGCACTCTCCATCTCAGAGTACCAGAATATTATAACAGGGAGAGCAGTATTAAAAAACAGAGAAGTATTAAACTTGGTCAGTCCCAGCATATGGAAAGTGTTTTCTGTCTTTTAAGGCCAGCACTTTCTGCTCAGCACATTTTGGTGCACTGAGATGTGTGGTTTTCATGTATTTTACACCTTCTTATGATCCTCAAAGATAAGACCACCAACATCAGTATGTCTAAATAGCTCACCTCATTTAATGCATTTATATGTAACAAATAAAATATTTTGATCCCAGTTATCATTTATAAAGTGTCTCCTTATGTTACTGTAATAGGGTAAAATGACCTTATCCTGAGCATAAACATGACATGTTCCTTGCGAACACCTTTGAGATAGCAGTTTAGGATAAAGTACTTATAAGGGAGAAACCGTAGGTTACTGATCTGTTAGTTCTGAATCTGTTCTAATTCAGAGAGAAATAGAAACATTTCTAAAATAAGCACAGGAAATGTAAAATACAGTGAAGCATTAACATTTGCACAGCAATCAACCTGGAGCCTATTCATATATCAAAAAGAGCAGGGTCTAATTAAGCTCTGGCAAACTCAATTCTATTTCCTTTCACTCCGATAGAGTTTGCCTATGTTTGTCAGTGCTGAGTTTGGCTTGCATGCAGTTAAGCACATGTCATCAGCTTTCATTCAGTTGATTCAACTAGTTCATATATTGCTTTTGATGTATTGCAGCTGTTCTTGTGTTTAATTTATGCAGATATTCTAGAATCTACATTTATTAGCAGCCATGATAGCTAAAACAGAATACTTGCATAGAGTGCTACAGAACTGCAAAAAGTGAATTTCCTCTTCCTATTTATCAATGTGTAGTCTCTATATCTCGTTCTAAGAGTGGTTCTGCCTTCAGTCAAGAGCTCTACAATAACTTTGCAGGCGTAATTTGGAGCCTCTGGATTCAGCTGCAATATCTGCCTTGATAGGTTAGTGATTTCAAATAGCTGATAGATGAATGAATGGAAATTGTTATCTGTTACAGAAAAAACCCTATGAATACAAAAAGTATTTTGTAGTAGATTAATGCCTTGAATAATTTGACCAGTCTTACCTATATGTCTCATTATTTTCAGTGAATTATCCTTTTGTAGTTTAATGAACAAATAGTATTGTAATACATCTTCCCTCTTGGAAAGAACGAAGTACATATTCACAGCTTAGTATTCGAAACAGCGAGGGTTTCATAATGCCATACATGTTCCCATTCGAATTGTTCAAGGGATATCCTAAACAGCTTGTTAGAAGCTCTTAGGAAAAAGGAGCTTTTTTGCATAAACTCATACATCAGGTCTGTAACTGTTTCAAGATTTTTTTCTTTTACTTTTCAAAATAGATGTGTATTTCAGTATTTTCCATGTTCACATCTCTGACAGAGGAGAAGAGAAGAAAAAAGATGCTTTTGAATTATGCACATAGTGCTTATCTGTATGCGTGTGGTGCTGTTCCAGAGGCTCGTAATGCAAAGTATAGTTGCTAAATTCTTTTTTATGTTTCTGTTTCAAATGTGAAACTTGTCAAATATGTTAATCTAGATCTATATCCATTCCAGCTCTAACTGTTTTCTAGAGTAATCACTAATAGTAATAGCAGAAAAGTAATCACATACACTACGTTTGGCTTATTTCTTGATCCCAAGGCATTTTCTGATGGAAACAGGGATTTACAGAGAGGAAAAAAAAAAAAGAAATCCATGCTTCTTAATGTTCTTTTGCCAAACAAATATAAAGGTCTCCACAGGCAAGGATTAACTAATACAAATATGCTTTCTAAGCAGCTATTGAAGAATTACTAATAAACATCATTATAGCTGAGTTCAAGATATTCAACCTTGTAAATATATCCTGTTATAATTTCATTGCGGTTGGCTGAAGCCCTGGGAGAAGCCAGTGTTTCAACCTCTTTGTTCAAATCTTATTGAATTATTGGAAAGCGGGTGATTAGAAAGCATCAAATCAGAAGGGGTCGCTGCGTTCTCAATGTTACTCTCTTTGATGTTGTTTACCTCCCGAGTTGATGCATTTCCTTGGCCAAAAGTCTTGATATGCGAAGCTGTGATCTTGCTTTGCTGGGCCATCATATCCCAGCGCGGGTCTGGAAGTGAAATGTGGTTCTAGCTATTTAGTGAGTGTTTTAAGTGTTCATTGAAGCTCACACCTCAGAGTAGGAGTCTGCTCGGAAGTGGGGCACAACTGTTATGTAGCTAAAGGGGGTACAACGAAAGAAGTGGGACGCTCAAGTAGAAGTTTAGTTTCTCCTTAGACCAGACACACTTTCCATACTTATCCCCGACTTTTTTTTTCTATTTGGTGGATCTGCTTTCTTCCTGCTTCCAGTTGCTTCTGAACTCAAAGCCTCTTCAGCTGTCCAAGGCACAGTCGACACTGTAATGTGAAAACACCGGTTTGTGACACTCAGGCCACTGCACGCTGCTGTGGTAAGAGCTTGGGCCTACACTACGTGTCAGCTTATGCTTGAGCTTTCTCTTCTGGAGAGCTCCAGATTTTAGGTAATGAAACGTGAACACAGGCATGAGGGATTAGGATGTGAGCGTCTTGAGACTGGAGTCAGATCCTTGACTGATTTCTTGACAATGTAAAGATATTCAAAGAGGCGGATGAAGTTCAAGTAATTGGTGCTGTCTTCACAGTGGCTTAGCATTGTTCCACTGCTTCCCACAGCATATTTACAGGGCAGTCCCTCTGTGCAGATTCACATTTCCCAGCAGATCAGTTCCACTGGGACATTGACTAAAGAGAACTCAGATGAGCAGGGATAAACTACATCCCAATTTTTTCATCTCCATGAAACTAGTCTCATTAAAGATTTTTTCATTTGGTACATCACCTAAAATAATGTAAGAGGAGCGGCCATTAACCACAATGTTCCTCAGTCAGGCAATGATAGACAAACGCTCGAATCAAACTGTTTTTTTTCAGATGAACCTGTCTTCAGGGTACCCCTTAACACAGCCTTTGCTCTCTCGGGGTGGAGAGGGAGGTTCAAGAAGTTGCCTTGCTTGGATTGAGGGTCTTTTCTTTAAGGGTGACCTTGCAATATGATTATATTCTTAAGCATGGCCTGCACAGATAGGAGTGGCCTATAGTTCAAGGGTTCAGAGGTTTTGAGTCTCATTGGTAACGTGTCTTGGACAGGTCCTCAATTGTATGTCTTCTGAAATGCCACAGAACGAGTGTTACAGCAGACTGTATTTTCACTTCAGTTACAGTAGCCTCTGGATTATTTAAAATTAACCAGATAGATAACTTTAATTTGAAGAGGCAAGTATGCAGGCTAAGATACTTGAAGCATGGTAATGAGGGCTGTAGCCAGACCTCTTACTCTTCACATAAGAAGATGGCGAAGGTTCAGAGGATGCAAAGGCGGAGGAAATAACGTGAAAGCTAGTTTTGCCAGACAGGTAAAGACTTATTCATGCTGGGAGAATCTCCAGCTGGGAAAATCCACAGTTGTTATAGCCTTTGTGCCACCAGAATAGAAAAAAGGGTTGGCTCAGAGAAGAGAATCTGGCTCAAAGAACTTAAAATAAATATCAGATGTCAGAGCTGTGACTTAATTGTTTAGCTAAGTAGATCATGTGAATTACACACAGATTGAGGACCTGGTTTTGCTTCTGTTGAAATCAAGGAGAACAGAATCAGGCCATACTCTCCTTCCAGTGACTTTCAGCCCTCAAAACTGTGTTATTTGAGAGTATGACAGCTCCTAGAGTCATTTTTTATACCAGTCAGGAATCCAGAGAGCTGCTAGTACACAACTGCTTTGTGTTTTATTGCTGTAGACATAAGCTAAGACTCTAAACAGAAAGCATTTCCTTAGTTGCTGTTGGTGTTTATTTCAAAATTTGACATTCAAACAATGGCTTCTGTGACTCTAACCATGGAAACTGGAACTCCAGGTTCAGACATTGGTTTCTGACAGTAGCCAATTTCAGAGAGATGCATCGAGACATACGTGTATTTTCCTTCTTTTCATTTAGTCTCAGGTAACAGCTGTGGCAGTCTCAGGTAACAGCTTTGACAGTCTCAGAATAAGACCTATGCCCTAACTCAAAGACATTAGCTTATAAATATCCCCTTGAGAAACTCTAGTTCTGAAAGCTTTATACCTTTATAGCAAAAATTTTTTTTTTCTTCCTTAATGAACATATAAGCGAAGTTTGTTACCTTCATCAATAAAAGGAAATAAACCATTTTTTTCTCTTACCGTTACACTATTGCATGCTTCCTTTAGCATTTTAAAATTATCTATTAAATAAAAAACGCCCATGTTTAATCATGAAGGCTTTGCAGCAGTGAGGAAACTATCAGACAACAGACAATGGCTGCTGAAAACTGGACAGGATTGTTTAGTTATAACCAAAATTAAGTCACCTGGAGCTGACTGACAATCTTACATTCAGGAAGAAAAGAAAGATTTTGGGAGAAGGCTTCACATGTGCAATTGAAAGTACGTTTCTATTACCTGGCTAAGAACCTTCACATGGTTCTACTGACAGGGTGAAATATTGGCAGACAAGTGACAGAAAGAAAAATGTTTGGAAAGATCTACAGCCAATTTGCAGACTGACATGTATTTCTACACATTCTGGCTGGATGATGAATGTCTGTTGGTACAGCATGTAACTGATGACATTATAAATGAACGGAGCATAGACAAATTACTCAGTATCATATTTCTGGACATACGCAGAAGGTACTGTGGGAAATATTCTGGTTTAGATAGGGCAGGTTTTAGGTGCTAGTTTCTGCATTCACATCACAGAGGGCATCAGAGGGTGGCAAACACTTTTGTCCGCTGGCCAGCCAGGGTTCAGCCTCTCCAAGCTCGAGATGATATTACCATTACTGCAGTCTTTTAGCCAGCAACAAGGTGAGCTTTCTTTTTCTGAGAAATGAAAGTACAGTGTCTGAGCACTTAGTGAGCAATTACTTTCCCCTCATGAATGATGAATTAAGCAAAGAAAAATCTAAGTTTGAGGGGGAGAGGAGGAACGTAGTATTACCAGTGTTGAAAAACCTGAATAGTTCACAGCAGGCAAAGCTATCCTCCCCTTCCCCTGTCTGCCTATCCTGACACTTCAGATGTGATTAAATGCTTCTGCTGTAGCTTGAGTGAGTTAGCTCCCTCCAGCCTCAGGTTATGCCCTTCCCACAGTTCAGTGCCCAGGCTCGGAGGAGCCAACTCTAGGGATAATCTGTTGCCCTTAAGAGGGTGTTGAACTGGAGGCTGGCAACCCCTTTCAGGCTGTAAATAGTCATTGCTCTGCTGAGGTAGGAAGGCCTCCCTGGAATTACTGTTCATGCTGTTAGTTGAGTTCATAGCAACGATCGCTGCTAACTATTCCTGTCACTCTCTGTTCCCACTCGCAGCTCAGCAGAGACCAGCCAAAGCAAGGAGGCCAAGGGGAGTGCAAGGGAGGGGAGAAAGCAAAGTGCAATGGCTTGGCAAGAGTAGGGCATGGGCAGGGAAGAGTGTGGGCAGTGGCTGGCTGGGTCCTTCCTGTGGATGTGAACAGGTCTTTATCACCTTCCCATGACTGCGAGTCAACCTTTTCTGCTGCTGAGACTGCTGGAGGGACTTAGTTAAAAATAGTTTTCCTCCATAACTTCTGAAAAAGTGACCTAGGTGTGGCTGAAGGAAGGAATGGTAAGTAGGTGTCCTTCTCCTGTACCTTGTATCCTGTGTAGGTGCTCCAGCTGATACAACATGAACACCAAATGCTTACATGCCTGTTTCTCCTGCTTTTGTTCTCTTGCTTCTGGATGTGTTTTCCAGCCTCCTCCCTTGTACTGTCAGGGGTGCTTTCACTTTTGTACGATATGGTAATGTGGATCACAGGGAGTGGGACGCTGGGACAACAAGAGCAGTTGTGGTGTCTCAAAGATGGTCCTGTACGTTCAAGTCAGAAAGTTGGGTTGTAAAGAGCTTCCATATCCTTCCCAAGTAGCAGCATAATAAAATGAAAAAGAGAAAACTCAAGTAAAATTAGTATGTATTTGCTTTGTTTGCTCTTACTGTTTTGATTTTGTGAAATTTTCTGTGAAAGACTGTTTTCACCTGAAGCATGAAAAAACCTAGAAGTGGAAGTTTGTTTCAGAGGACTTTGTGTCACTTCACCTCCATTCACTTGCATGAAAGAGAGCAGGTCTCCCAGAGACTGTGCTTGGGAGGGACTGTGTTGGCAAGAGAGCCATGATACCAGGTGTAATAGCTCAGGAGCTTTGACCTGGGCACTCTGCGCTCCTTATGTCCCGTGAGAGCCAGTGGAGAGCTACAAGGATGATGGGACTAAAGGTCTCGCTTTCTTAAAAGAGAGGACAAACTTCAGTTTCCTTCACTTTCTGTCACAGATGAATGGCGAGAAAACTGCAGCAGTGAAGAAAATGTAGAATACAAGTGAGCACAAATTTAGAATACAAATTTAGAATACAAATGAGCGTGTTACACCTTGTGAGGCAGCAGCGCAATTGTGGTTCTGGTGTTTCGGAAAGAGAAGCTTGAAAAAAGCAGACTGTTTTAAAAGTTATCTGTCCCATGATGTATACCAAAGTTTAACTACTGCAGTGTTTTACAATCTGAAACATCCAAGAAGGACCAAGATAATGGACATTTTTTTCATAAAAACTATCTGAATCAGTAGGATGTTACTTATGGATTTACCCTGTGTTAGAAATGTGGCAAGGAGCCTGAGACACTTAATTTCTGATCCCATGTAGTCCTTTGTAATGTAGCAATAAATAAATTGAATTAATTCAGAAACTAACTCCTTTTAATGATTTGCAGTAAACAAAGAATGAAGGAGTTAGCAATAAAACACTATAGCAAACAAATGTGTTTCTTCTCAGAGTAGAAGACCATGTTTTGGATGTCTCATTGTCATATATTTACAAGCTTGCATAGTCTTCAGGTAAGACTTAGCCTTTAATCAAAAGGACTCTATGGGAGCAGGAGTAGTAGGGCTTCCAGGGGAAATTCCTCCCTCTTAGGTGCTCATAGGCCATGACCCAATTGGAATAATAGCGCACGGAACATAGCTGAGATGGTTATTTGTTGAATTAAAGCTAGTGTTTCACACTTAGAATCATATGGCATAAACCTATTGGATTATTAAATCCAGCCATCTGCTATTTCAGGCAACATGTCCTAGAATCTTGTTCGTAACCTTTTCAAAGAACAGGAATGTGCCCAGCTAGTGTAAAACTTGTCTTGCCTGTTCATCAGTTAGCAGAGATAAATAAATATTCCTTTCTTCTTAAAGAAAGGTCCAGTCACATTAGCCTTGCTTTTTTGTGTTACTATTTATATTATAGTATGAACAGAATCTTCCATACTATTTATAACAGAGCGTGGCTAAGGCTTCCTGTCTTGTTGCTCAAATAAAGGCTATACATCCAGCTGAAATCAAGTGTCTGAAGTTAGTCATCTGCTTTCTTGGTACCCACCTGAAGGTCTCTGTAGTAACAACACGGCTGAAAAATATTTGGGTTAAAAAATCCCTCCCATAGTTCCCTTGCAATTATACTAATGGGGTGTTGATGAGTGAGGGGGACTATGCAGCCATCAGCCAGAGTGACCCTGGTCACTATAAAAAGGCAACACTTCAAACTATTTCAAGACTATTTTTGTAATTCTTAAAAAAAAATAGCATTCCATTTCAAAAAAAGGGTGAAGAACTAGAAGTATGACATACTTCAAGTCTGCTCCAAACTGTAGTGCACAGATGTCCGTTTATCAAACAAATGTTACGAGGATGTGTAAACATACAGTTCAACGGACAAAAACAGGGCATGCTGAATCAGGAGAGCAGTATGCCTTTGCTCTTTGTGTGTTTGTTAATGTGTTCATTTTCTCGCTTTACTATGCATTGTAGAAGGTGTCTTTATCTGTTTTTATTGTCTGTTTTAGGAATCCCTTCGTACAATACTTTTTTTGAATGTTCGGTATTTGCAATGCTGGAATTTTGGGAGGACCAAGTAGATTTGAGTTACTCTCCTGTGAATGCCCTGGGAATGTTAATCTCCCTGCGTTTAAGCGAGCAACTGATGTAGATAAGGTTTACAAGGGTAAGAGGGAGATGACTTAGGTGAGTAGAGACTCTGGGATAAGGATGAATGATTGGCCCTACATGTGATGGGTTGGCAGAGGGAAGAGAGGAAAAAAAGAGAAATTGTGATTAGATGCCAGACTGAGGTTTTAGAAGCTGGTGCTTCCTTTTATGCCCATCTTTAGCACCTTTAAGAATTACACTGATTTTTTACATATAGTGCTCTTGCCAGTGGTGACTGACATGGTAAACTTTATCAGCCATACTGAAAGCAAATCCTGTTAGGCTTTCTCTTTGAGGTCATACTGTTGTACTTCTAAACCGACTGATGTCACAACCCACTTTATTGCTCAAGTTCCTGGGGAAAGTTGCAGAATAAAGACTTTGATTTTATATATATAACATCAGATACTGCATTCATAAATAAAGTTGGGAGAATTTGAGAATATATCAATTACTCAGCATTTAAAAGGAGTATTATTTGCCATGCTCACATCAGAAAAATATTACTGGAATGAGTATCAGGGAAAGTAAATGTTCAGTCACTAGTTTAAGTATCCTTAGAAGCACTGTTTCAAACCCAGACAAGTAAATAAGCATGGAAGCGCTTACTTGACGTGGGAGCAGAACTACCATTTTAGGACTTCACTAATGAGGTACAATCATATATCACAGAGTGCATTCTAAATATTCTCTATAAATAAAGTTTATTTACACCGAACAAAGATTTTATGGACAGCAAATAAATCCAAAGAGATTAGAGTCTGTTTGGTCTGCTGTTGGAGAAGCAGAAGATAAATTGACCAAGGCATTCATTATGAACTCTTAATTGCACTCTATTTGTAACCGTTAAGCTCTAGAGTACACTTTGTATTGCGAGAACTGGAAGGGCTCCTGTTAGATGGAGTAAATGGGAAGCCTCGTAAGCTCCACTCGCAGAGTAGGAAGGTACGCATGAGTACATTCAGCATATTCTATATTCAGTAGATGGCAGTGGTATGCAGTTGTAGATTAATTCAGAACTTCCTCTTGAGCAGACCCTCTAATCTCTGTGAATCCAAGCAGTGTTGATTTGGGGGTTTATTTGAGGCTTTTTTTTCCCTTCAGATGATTCAGGTATTTTTTCACCTGCTAGAGCAGACAGTGATAGAAAATGCAACAAATTCTGCTAATTTATTGTAATCCTCATTGCACAGCACTTGGAAGAATCTGGTAAGTCTTGAATTCCAAACAGCAGTATTACATACAGAAAGGAATGCATCTGTCTGGAGCATTGACTCATTTTCCATCTCTGCCCCATGGAACTTAGTACGTACACATCAAAGTCTCAAAATAAAAGTATTCAGTAAGTGGGAACTGTGTGTGTTACTTAACAGAAGTAGTAACACAGTGACGTCGTGGAATACTGCACACAGAAATAGATATTTTCCCTTGTCTGAAGGAATGAATTGCAGATCTATTGGGGGAAAGCGGGGTATGTGTGTGTATAAGCAAACAAATTACTAAGACAATTAGAAATTATTATAAAGGTTTTAATTATGGAAAACTGGAAGAAGAGGAACAAAACAAAAGCAGAAATACAGTTTATGTGGTAGAAACCACAGATGAGGAGGCTAAGGGAATTAAATTACATCATTTAAGTAGATATTTTCTCATATGGCAGTTATTTCTAGTACAAATAATAGAAAATGTTTAATGATTTATGGTTGTTAATGATGGAAGGAGTTGCTCTGTGTTGCACAAAGCGATGTTTTTTCTTGCCTCCCTATGGGAAACTGCAATAGAAAATACATTAAATATATCAGTCTGTGAAGTGAGTTGTAACACAACCACAAATTTGTCCTAAGGGTTTTGAGCACTCTTGGACAGACCCCAGAATCAATTGGTGGTCCCCGAGTAGGGAATACAAATGTCACACATTTTCAACAAAGAACTGCATACTCTGCTGGATCAGGCACCGCATGAGGATCCAGAGAAATGTTTCAATCTATGCTAATATGGCTATTGTTTGCAGAACGAAAACTAATACCATTCTGGTAGCAATGGAATAGCAACATAAAAAA